GGGACTTTTAGGGCGATTTTAGTAATGGTCCCGTTTGGATGTTTAAAATCCTGGGGCATTACACCTCACATCGCCAATAAGAATATGTGCAAGATGCAAGTCATAAAACAATGATAGAACATTATCGTTGCCAACATGAGCATAACTTAGTAGAACATGTACTCCGATCCTTCCCTTGAGGTTGGAGTTTAAATTCCCACAATCCGACCCTTATTTGTTGTTCTCAAAAGGAAAAGAAAACTAATACAAACAATTTTGGTATAGCTTTGTGCGATGATAAACGTTTTTAATTAATTTATAAGTACTTTTTAAAAATTACTATTGAGGAACACATGTGATGCACATGAAATTTATTTTTTTCTTACTATTACCTTAAGAGTAAAGTTGTCATTCAAATATATACCCTACTATTTTATCTCTCAATTCTTCTAATTTTACCTCTTTCTAAATACTATCTCTCAATCTTTACAAATCTCTCTCACTCGATCCCGAATCTTGTAATTTTTTTCTGATTGTCTCTCTCTCTAAATACTATATCTTCATCTTTACGAATTCCAAATAAACTTAAATAAATGATAATTTGAGTAAGGACTTTGGATTAGTGGAGAAAAAAAAGAGTCTAAAGAGTGAATGAGAAACAAAAATAATGAAAGGATTGAAGGAGAGATAAGTAAAGTTTTTTAGAGAGAATTATTTGAGAAAAGGGGAATTTGTAGAGGTGGAGATAAAATATTTGGAAATTGAGAGGAGTGACATGGGAAGAAAGGATGGGAGATAACTGGTGGAATTTGAGGGGAGGGCAAGAGATTAAATAACAAAATTGCCATCAAAGAAATTTATAAAATTGTTAAAATTAGATGGCAAATTGAAGAGATTAAAAAATTTCACCTTTTATATGGTATAGATTATGATATTTCATTATAAATATATACTTATAGAGTTAATTTTGACCATTCTAAAAGCACTTAAAAAGAAACAGACAACTTAAAGTTGTGCTTCTTTCCAATATACTAGAAAAGGCATTTCACTCAAAATTTATACTCCAAAAAATCAAATCAAATTAAATTTAAACATTAAAGAAAATTTTGATTGTTGAGATTTTAGAGTTGACATTTGATAATGGCAGGATTTTATTCAAAAACACATCATTGCTAAATCGACACTTAGTTGCACGTGCCAGTCCCATGGGATAAGTTTGGAAGTTAGTTCAGATGCGGCAAACTATCGAACTAAGGCAATTATGTGATAGATGTTTCCGAACTTAATTTTACCATTTAAATGCATAACCGTGCAACCGTATTTCAACCTCAATGTGTATCGCATGCCTAAAATTCTAGAGATAGCCGTGGGTTTGAATCCATGATTCCAATGGTTATCTACCCTCCATATAAATATGCTGAAATTAAATGAAAGAAGTACACAAACTTTGATATTTGTGTTTTTTGCATATTGAATCCTATATTGACAAAACCTCGGAGTACTAACTTCTTTTCGTAGGATGCGATTCTTATCTTCGAGTGCTCTTAGAGATCTTAATGCTTTAATCGAATTTTTTCAGTTAAAATATTTGGCACCATCTGTGGAACGAAAGTTCTTCGATTTACCAGCAAATTCAGACCTTTATTATTTGAAATCACTTTTCACTTACGGCAGACAACATTTCTCAATGGTCTAGTGTGGATACGAGTTATTCTTCAAACCGTACTTGTGTATGTGGAAGAGGGTGTCCACTCCTTGCAAAGGAGGATTGGCTCGAAGGAATGTAACCCGCCCAAATTCATCAAGCTCCACAAGGAGGATGGAGCAAAAGTTGGCTGGATTGAGGGCAGAGTTGAATGATATTTGGGCCGAGTTGGGTGGAGTCGCCCACTTCTGTGTAGAGATAACATAATTGACAATCGCTCTATGAAAAAACAAGTAGATACTGAGGTAACAAGAGATCGCGAAGATAGAAAGCCAAGTTATGATAAACGACAGACATGATTAGAATATATTATGTAACGACCCAGAATTTTCCGCACACCTCTAGGTCACATTAACTACCCAACTAATCAAATTTAACCCCGACTACAGCCTGCCAACTTCCTATGCACACAAACTTATAAAATCAAGTTTCAATCCCCATCAATCTAACGATAAATCAATCTCATGGAATAACATTCAACAACATTCGTGAACCACTTCACGAGGCAAGTTTATTATTCAATCTATATGAAACTAAACCAATGGAATAAAACTCAAACAGGCACCTATCCCGAAGCAAAACTAACCACAAGGAAAAATCTCACAATTATTCAAATACAAATAAACTGTTTATTGGCCACAACATAAGGCCTTAACCAATGACTTAAACTAAACAGGAATAACTAAGCAGCCTATGGTCCTCGCTCGTCATGTCTCCTCCGTCCCATCACCGTGGTCACCCACGAGTCCTTCACCTAAAACAATCATTGTAGAGGGGGGTGGAGTGAGTATATAAAATATACTCCATAAGTAACCCTCACCAGGCACACACAAACATCATGCTCATAACCATAAAGGAAACATACATCGTCATGTTCTATCATTACAGTATGCGAATAACCATAGACATGCTCTACTATTTCATTATACATTCAACCATAAACATGCTCTATAAGACCCGATACTAACCACAATCATATAAAAACAACTACCGTCCACATGGCTCCCTAACACCTCAAATACATCTATGTTCACCTCAGCTATTCAAGCTCTTCGAAACCATTCTATTGGTAGTGTCGGCCCCTGACCATTTATACTCAGAGCCCCGACACTAGTGCATCGACCCTCGACCATTTATACCCGAGGCCTCGATGTCTTACAATCTATTGGCCCTTGACCATTTATACCCAAGGCCCCAATAGTTCTCCTTCCGAAAG